CATAACTTGTGGGGATGACTTGTTTGATTCGTTGGCACAACTTTTTCGTGATGAAATGTACAACTTCCTCCAGCTCTGCGTACTGTTTGCGTTGAAGCTCCTGCTTTTTGGAAGCTGAATTAAGACTGAATTCCTCAGAGGTTTGTTAGGGAATATTATTGAGCAAACTGCATCATGAAGAAGAGCCGCATGCAGCAAAGGCTAACTGAGACCTTCGTCCAGTTTGATTGAGCTCTGCAAAGAATGGGCAACGTTTTCAGTCTGTAGAGACGTGCTGCAAAAAAAAACAAACAAAAAAAACAACAACAACGTCTTAACGGTAAAAGATGGTTATGTAAAATACTGACTACAATGCGCACACCACACATCAATTTTATTTGAAATAAGTTTCGTAAACCTTGCAACACCTTCATTCCACTTTACAAACATGCCCTGCTCTGTTTCAGGTTGCCACATTACATGTTGGTGACGCATAGTAAAATTTCTGTTTGTAACTTCATAAAATCTAAAAAAAAAAAAAAGAAAAAAAAGTGACCCGTATTTACATACTTTTGTAATATTAGGAATGTTTGAAACCCCTGTTATGAAATGGGGCAGCATTACAGGAACAGATCATTTGAGATTGCAGCAATTATAATGAGATCTACTTTGTGTCGTTATTTCGATTCTGTACGTTTTGACCAACAGCTCCGAACGTTAATATTTTCTTGTTTCTTTTTTTTTTTTTTTCTTTTTCTTTTTCTTCATCCTCACAGCTGAGTGGTCATCCTGGCTTCCTCTGTACGGCAACCTGTGCTGCCGCTTAGTGGCGCAGCCGGCCTGCATGACACAGAGCGCCATGAGCGGCTATCTGAGTCAGAAGGTGCGTTGACGGCTTTCACTGTTACGTCACGTAGTAGGAGTGAGTCCTGGTCTGGATTGTGCAATCATTCTGTTTTTGTTGCTCTGTTGATTTCCAGCAAAGTGTGCAGGGGGTGAACCGCTGCTGCAATCTCTACTGTCTGCTGAGCGCCGGCTTTTTGTCCTGTTACTTCACCCCTGAAGAAATCGATGCCAAAGTGCAGCCCACTCTTAATGTGCCAATCAATAATGTGAGAGAGCGGAATATAAAACATATATATATATATATATAGAAGATAAATAATCAATTTTTCTTGGTCTCACTTCAGGTTTTTCCTTAACATTTCTCAACCAAGCCTACATTAATTACTCAGATCCTATTAGGGTGTTTGCAGTTTTCCCCCCTGAATTAATCTTGGTGTGCAATCCCAGCTTTGTCTTTTACCACTAGAGTAAAAAGCTTACATACACTTCACTTATCACAGTCATTAATGTCAGATTATATCTGGAGGACGTTGATGCATCTGCACTGTTCCTTTTTAGGGTGGAATAATTGTACAGCAAACACCTTCAACACATTTTGAAAACGCGTATTGCGTGCACAAGTTTGACGTTCTCTATGTAGTCATACCTCTTTCTAGTCACCAGATGGTCAAAATTTTGCCTGCAGGCTCAAATATAATAATAATAATAATAATTAATGGGTTAAATATAGGACTGGACCACTTCGCTTTGTGTCAACCATCACTCTCTTGTAGAGCACTTTTTCATGGAACTATGGAAACCAAAAAGAATGCAATCATATAGTGAGAAAACGGTAAAAATCTAAATTACCAAAAAAAAAAAAGTATAGTATAAATAAAAAATATAAATTCATAATGCCACCGACACCACGCTTGACATTTGCTTCAGCGTTCTTATGCCTGAAAGCCTCACCAATCCACAAATGAATCTTTAAAAGTCCAAAATGACTCTCATTCCTGCCGGTGGTGAGTTTATGCAAACTTGTTACCGAATCCTGCAGTGGGATCAAAAATTAAACAGAGATTGTTGTTGTTGTTGTTTTTTTCTTTGTTTCTTTTTTTTTTTTTCAGCCTGTTGTAAGTTATGTGTCGTATCTGCAGGAGACCCGCATTTGTGTGCTGGACAAACAGTCAGGCGGTCGCAAATCCAAGAGTTTGTCCATCATCAACCCTTCACCCGAGGGATCTCAGAGTGTCGTGTTCACAGCAGACACCAGGGAGGAGCTGGAGGAATGGATCGACTGCCTCCACCAGCACCTCTACGACCAAAGTGAGTGTGGCCCCTGCGAGCGGACAGACTTGCGGGCTTGCATTCAGATAACGGGGTGTCCGCGCAGCCTTAAAAAGTCTTAAATTCATCAGAGTTGGAAGTTGGCCTTTAATACGCCAATGGCAGGTCTTTAATTTTGTTGTGACGGGACTATTTAATCTTGCATGGTTTTATTTTTTTCGTGGGACTTTTCTGTCAGGTAAACGCTAATAAGCACTGTGTTCTGTGACTCGAGGCAGTTGTGGCTACTGCTAACTAGCTGCTAATTAAGATACCCTGGCAAACTAGCATTTTTGCACCTATAATGGGGAAAGCGTGAATTTATCGCCAGTTGGCTGTGCAAATTTCTTCTTCTTATCTTAACTGGCTCACTTCTGCCACCAAGCCATGCAGTTCATTCTGTGTGAAAAAGCTCAGCACTACTATTATGTAAAATACACAGTTATCTTTTGCACATTTCTGTCTTAAATGTCACTGTTACTGGTCTTAAAAAGTGTTAAATGTGGTGTTGGTGAAACCCTGAATGAAGATGGTAACATGATTAGATCGTCTGGACAAGAGCAGAATGCAGACACTTGAATGAATAGAAAATGTCATGTCTGCCCTTATTTATGACCAGGCCAGTGGCTCCACTGCTGCGACCGCCTAATGAAAATTGAGGTCGCATCACCACGGAAACCATCGCTTTTCCTCACCAAGCAGGCCGACTCTGTTTACGACGACCTCAGTGAGTACAATAATTTGAATTAGACGCTGAAGTGAGGTGGTGGCAAGCTGATATTGGGCTGCAGCTTTTAGTGAGGGGGGAAAAAAAAAAGTATTTCATTTAAAATAATACGTGCCATTACTCCACAAAATGTGTTTTCATTCCAAAGATGATGCATGCAAATGAAATCCTTTTACATGCAAATGAGAAAAGTGGAATGTGTGCTTCTACGTCTTCTGAGGGTTATATTGTTTGCACATCAGACACGGAGAGGAAAAAAAAAAAAAAGTGTTATTTCATCTATAAATTTCCTTCGTTGTTAGTTAACTTAATATTTCCTGCAGGTATAAATTCGCCCAACAAGTTTGAGAGCATCACAGACATAATCCACAGTAAAATCGAAGAGACAGATGGCCGCTTCCTGATTGGGCAAGAGGAGGAGAGGGAGCCCCCTAACTGGTCCTCTCTGTTCGATGGGTCCCACCCTGTGGTGGTGGAGAAGAGCGTTCTGTCCCAGAGCAAAACCTCCACCCCCTGTGCAAGCCCCAGCACCGGCTCCACGCCCCTGGGCAACAAAAAGCGCCGCGCTCCACCTCCTCCTTCCGACGTGAAGCCCTTCGCTAACCCCACCCGTCCGGACAGGCCCCCCCTGCCCTCCTCTCTGCTTCATCGTCCTCTTCCTCCGAACCAGGAGAAGGAGAACTCCGGCGCGTGCGCTTCCCGCCCAGCCGTCAGGTCCAAAACAGGCCGGCCCTCGCTGGACGCCAAGTTCTCCGCCATCATCCAGCAGCTCCAGCGGAACAACGCCGGGGGCGCGGCGGCTCCAAGCCGGAAGATCGCCCCGCTGGCCGTCCTCGACGTGCAGCCGCAGGGTCCGCCTCAGCCTTCGATCCAGCAGTCGGACGTCCAGAACCACAGCGTCCAGATGCCTCAGGATGCAGCTGACGATGTGTTTGTCCGAGCCTACAGCGGTCCCGGTCCCGGTTCCGGGCCCATTCCCGCACCACGCAGCAAACTGAGGAAGTCGCTCAGAGAGAAGATGAATCTCAAAGCTTTGTGATCTAAACCCCTTTTTTTTTCCAAAAAAATCTTTTCACTTCCAGCCAGACGTTTTACACACACTCATCGATGCATGAATGTCGTATTGAGAGGTTCTTTGACTTAAAATTAATAAAACATGAATGATTTTCCACGTAGAATTGGGTGCAAAACTTTGAATTTACTGTATGTTTTCTCTGAGTCACACAGGGCCAAAGTTCTACATGCAGGGTTAAATTATATAGAGACACCTCCAGTAATATTTGACTAAATATCCTGACATGTTGATAAGAAACCACACAATATCTGTTGCCATTATCACATTTCTGCTATTTGGAGTGGATATATAATAACTTTTCTTATCAGAGATCCACAAGTTGCTACTTGCTAACCAAGGCCCAGCTTCTCACCAGATAATGGTGAAAATGAGTTTAGATGGACTAGAGAAAATCTACAATAAATTCAAACTTGTTCACCTGAATGTTTTCAAAAAAAAAAAAAAAAATCAACTTTCACCAAGAATGGTTCACATGAAAAGCTGAGGAGGTGAAAACTCACGCATGTGAACTTGTAGGTAGAAATGTATAGAAAATTAGAAATTAAATTAGAAAATTTAGAAATGCATTTGTTGAAATTGTGCGTCTGTAGCTCGTCACTTGCACAAATAACTGTGATAAAACCACTTTATCTGATTCAAGTAGCATTAAAATCAGACACTTTTATTGCATCTCAGTTAAGACTATTTCATATGACGGTTTTTCTTAAATAAGCACAAAAGTTGAAACTATATACCGTATTTACTAGAATTAGCAGATAAACCTTTATAAAAATGTTTGATGGATTAAAAAAAGTAGTCATTAATGTTAGGTATTCATCTGAAATTTGTTAGAGAATTCAAATCTAGAGATTAAGATACATAAAGGGGAAAGATGAATTTATTTTTTATTCTTTTATTTTATTTTGTTTTATGGGAAGTGGTGGATTTTTAGTTTAACCAACCCTGACCAGGAAGTGGCTGTCAGACATTCGACCATTTTTCGATCAGTGAGTGAATAAAGTCGGAACATTACTAGGTGGCGCTGGCAACGAAACCCTTTTGTGTGGAAGGTTTTAACAGGGAAGACGACTAAAATTTGGCAACTTTTATTCCATGTGGAGTGTTTAAAATTGAGGTCAGAAGAACTACTCAAGAAGCTACTCAAAAGGAAGCTACATTTTCAGTGACGAGTCTGCGGTTTATTTATGGCCCTAGAAAGGAGGATGGTTGCGAAAGTCACTTTTTATTATTACTTTAAACTGTCAACTTTGCCAAATTTACAAAATGTTGGGAGTCTTTTAAAATGCTCAGCAATAAGAACAGGATAATGTTATGTAAGCAATATGCAGACTGCTGCTTGCATTTAATAATGCTAACCATTCTAAACACTAATATGCAAAGAGTTAAAAAAAAAAAAAAAACGGTAAAACCTAAATTGACAGTGATTCCTGTTGCGTTTTTATATACAGCAGTAATGAGATGCTGTATATATTATTGTTCCAACAGTGAAACTAGAACTGCTTGGTATTTGTCAGTTTGGTTAAAGCTTTACAGAAATTGCCACACAAAACTGATTATTGCTTCTAATAAACTCCTGAATTGTAACATTAATATAAACACAATCAAACGATCACTCTGCTAATACAACACACCGTACAGGTCCTGAGTCATAACATCACCGCCTAAATCTCGGCGCCATTTAGATGCTGCACTGATGGATCTTCACTTTGCTTTGTTCCTTCATGTGGCTTAACCCCACATGTGAGACGGCGTGCTTCGGTTGAGCTGAAACAGAAAGCGTTCCCTCAGCTCTGCGACATGAAAAGTTTCACAAATGCACTTAATTTAAGTTGATCCATCTGGGTAACGTGGGGGGACAAGCCGGTGCTTTTGGAGCTACTGACGTCCTCCACTTACTGTGACGACTTTATGACCACTGCAGCTCGCTTTAAGGAAAGCCAAATTGTAAGCTAGTAATGTGACTTCTCTGCCCCCTTCCCCCCCTCCCCCTCGAGGTCTTTAATAGAGTAACCTTGTTTTTTAGTGGCTGCGCAGTACGTCTAACATAATTTAACATAGCAGCCAATAAATGCTCTGAACATAATTGAATGAATGGGTCTTTTGAGTGGCCTGAATAATGAATGTCCTTGTGCACTTGTTTTGAGCGTACCCAGTACTACAAGCCCCTAAATATTCCAGCCACTTAATGGCATTGTGTTGAAGAATGGCCGTCGTAATTGCATGCGGAGTACAAAACATCGCTGAAACTACCTGAAAACACGAGGCAGGACGAGGGAAAGCTATAGAAGCTATTTTTATTTTCCTCCTGCTGTTATCCTGCAAATTCATTTCAATAGTAGAGAAAGGTTAAAGCTTTAGGAGGCAAACGGGAATGCCGTTCATTATTTAGCAATTTGCTAGATGTATCTTATATTTACTGTGAATCACCTGGTGGTTTCTGTACTGCACATTCTTCGGAAAACAAAATAGTTTTTTCTTCAGAATGTGAAACTTTTTGGGACAAAAGAAAGACTGTGATAGATTTCTGCATTATTATTATTATATTTTTTACACAATTTGCTGCCACAATTTGTACTGGAATGCTGCCACTATCAAAAATAGTTGTAGTAAAGGGGTACAGCGAATTGAAAAAGTAGTTTTCAACTATAACGACTGTAATAAAAGTGAATATTTGTAGTTTGTTCTTATGACTGAAATGTCTTTACAAATGTCATTTTTATGCTTCTTTTTGTATCAGTCTTGCATTAGTAGTTTATAGTTTCCATGTGATATAAAAGTATATTTAGATCGTAGGTGTCGTTTCTCAGAAAGTGCAATCGCTTCTCGCTGTTGTCTTGGCAGCTATAACCGTGTTTGTTTTAGGAAAAAAAAAAATAATACTGCTGATCTGCAATAAAGCGACCTACATTCCACCCCGGTGAGGCTTTTTTTTTTTTTCTTTTACTGAGCTCTGGAAGTATTACAGAATATTTTTTCATGTTAAAAGTTTACCAGAGGGTGGCAATAAAAGTCAAAGCACAGCTTTTATTGCACCCCAGTACACACGCCATAGAAATACTACATGCACTGGCGCATTTGCTCAATGCAGCAAATGCTGAAGAGGCTTTTCTGGCCGGGAGCCCAGAAATGGCCTGTTGTGAAGATTAAAGCTGGTGGAATCTCAGACAAATAATGCTGTCACAATAATAAAACGCCATTCACACAGCATTTACTAAGGGGGGGAGGAATGGAATAATGTTAACACACTGGTGTTGCATACCAGTTTATATGGTCCTTGCATTTTATAGTGCTTTATAAAAGAATTTATACCCTTGTACTTTTACACATTCTATTGCTTTATAACCATTTACTCTGTTATTTTATTGGGTTTGTGTGTGATGGATCAACACAAAATAGTGCATAATTGAGTGGAAGCAAAACGGTTGGCTGATTAAAGATTTGGACACCATAATGTTTCGATCCAAGATTCCCCAAATGGATAAAGATTTGTGGTCGCAACTTGTCAAAAGTTGTGTGTGTAAGAAACTGATGAAACGTGTACTGATAGTAAAATATTTTAATTAAATATACAGGAGGTCATATCATACAAAATGTCTTTATTTTTTGTTTTGCTGCCAGCTGGATGATTGGTAAACAGATGGCTATGGTATCAAAAAACAGTTTCAGGATGCACAACATAAAAAAAAATAATAAAAATGAAAGGACAACAAATAATAAAAAAACAAGAAGCGTATCCTAAATCTTAATTTGTAGTGTTGTTTGAGCCTAACATAAAACAGCAAAAAAAGGGACACATCTAGTTTGTGTAACCAACTTTTATACTGTTCTTTTTTTTCTTTTCTGCTTTTTTTTTCTTCTTTTTTTGCTATTTACAGATTATAACAGTTTATATGAGAACAACCACGCAGTGCTATCTACAGTGCTATTTACACAGATATTAAGACAAAAAAGAGAGAGAGAGTTTGCCGTGAGTAGTTCCCTCCGTGTGAATGTTCTGTACAGGAGCCAGCTTACCTACACACAGCAATGTACAGTACTAGAATCAGTAATGAATGTCTAAGTGTTCAGCAAAATTGTAGATGTTTACAGCTTTAAAAAAAAAAAAAAGAAAAAAATTTTTTTTCCTCGCTTTAAACAGCAAAAGAAATGTTCTCTGTGTATTTCAGCTATCCTGGATTGCAATTATAGTGGTTGTAAAAAGCCAGTGCAGGTGTTGACTTTGCACCTCGGAGCTACGGAGCACGGTAGGAATACTTTATGGAGTTTGGTACCTTTTTCATCGCGGCTAGAGAACATGCCCTGCAGATGACAAGACACTGAACCTGTGTCTTCATCAGCTGTTTTTTTCCTAAACTGGCTGTTGTTAAAAGAACAAAGCGACAAAACCAAAATCGAATCTACAGTTACACTTTGAAATCCTACCTTTTAAGTCTGGTGTCTCGAAGTGTGCCAAGTTGATTGATAACGTCTGGATACTGCATTTGGACACGAGAGTGACAGTAAAATCGACATTCCTACCCTGCTACAGGAGATATACCTTAATAAGCGTAGTGCTAACTCTAATCCAAGACTGTGAAAGGCACAGATATTTTGCAAAGCAGTAATATCCTAAGTGACAACATTCCTATCAACTCATATATTAAAAGAGTCTGTCAAGAAAATGAAGCGTTTCAAGTCAGGAACGAAAATATGAAATGCAGATTTTTTTTTTTCTTCCTTTTCTTCTTCCTTGTGTGGAGCATTCCACAGCAGACGGCTGCTTCATTACGCTCTTCCTGCAGACGCAAAACGAGCCACAACAGTCTACCCGCCACAAAAATGTTCCGAGGTCGAACCACTTTTCATCACAGATGGTGAAACATCGATTCGCGAGCAGATGCGAACGCGTCACAGGAAGATGCGTTTAAAAACAACAAAAGACGAACCTGAATTTTGCAAAAAAGAGCGACTCTACAGTACATCTGTTGCACACAGCACCTCTGAATGTGGTCGTGATGAAACTGTTCGTGTTAAGCAGCGCCACAGCGGGTGTTAACATTTATCCCAATCAGTCCACTCCAGCTGGATTTACTGTGGCACAAACAAGGAACAGAGTTCAGCGTGGAGACATGTAAACAGACACAACATCACTGGCTGCCTGGAGAGAAATAACAAATGATTCAGCTGTTTTATTTTGGTAGCAATTAGGCATGGGCTGGTTACTGGTTTTAAAAAAAGTTGTGATTTCAAAATAGCAAACCGTTTTTTGTCATCCTGCTTCTAAAGTCAAGAATCTTTTCAATGGAGATGCTAAAGTGACCAATTTTCTCTTAACTTTTGTGGCCTACAGACCCGGGAAAAAAAAATTGAGAGAGCTCTGAAAACAGCATTTCTACATGTATCACAGTTAATAAAATACAGTAATGTGAAAGACTGTAGAGTATGTCAAGGCATATGAAAGCTGTGATTGAAAATATTGCAAAATTAGGCGGTCTCTTAATTTGTTTCCAGGCCTGTAAATCAACACAGTTCTGTCCCTCCCCCACCTAATGCTGTGCACTACCAGTTAGCTGGTTGACAGAAGGCTGCTACACTTTACCCTCAGTTAAAAGTAAGACAAATTTTGGTGTTTGAAATATTTCCATTATGAAAAACACTTAACACTTGCAAAACTACGGTTGCCAAGCTACCAAGCTGCATTTCTGCTAAGACACTGATTGCAAACTCTACCAGAGCAGTTAGCCTGACTAATTAATCAGTACTATGCACAGTAAGCTCTTAAAAACTTAGTGTTTGCTAAGTATTTTTATTCATTTGGTATTAAAATCAAAATGATGAATGAATGGTTCAGGTACAGGGAAGCGTGAATTAGTTGTGCTAGTTAATGCTAGTCAAATAATTCTTTTTAACACTCATGGGGCACGATGTGCTAAAGTGGGCGGGGAGAGAACAGCTTTCCTGACTCTAGCCTCGAATGAGCTTTGTCGCTTCTGAACAGAAACAGTCTTAAAGGGATCCCTGGGTATTTAATCCAGTAGTGTCAGCCACCAATCAGACACCGTCGTCGTGGGATGTTGTTGGACGGACATGAACAGAGGCGTATTTTTTTGGGAACAGGTTTGAAGGCGCTAATGTGTGTTGCCCTAGCTGGATAATATCTGTAACAATGAACTTAAAACTTTTGCAGCAGTCGGAAAAATACAATGCTTTTCTGTTTTGAATGAAATAAGTTAGATTATGGTGCAGAGTTCTGCTTTATTTTTGTGTAAATACTGTGAAACTGTGGTACTGTTACTTAAACTAACGGTCCTCTAAGGATCTCATACCGACCCATGCCCATTTGCAAAAACACACATACTGAGGTTAAGAGTTTGTATTTCATTGTCATGTTACTTTTAGTGTTTTTAGGCAACTAAGTTTAGCCCTCAGACACAGTAAACAAATGGCTTTTCTCTACTTCCCTCAACTTCTCACGTTCCAGAGCAACAAACCTGACTCGTGGGTCACTGAAAGCGACAAGCTGATTTGTGAGCATAATACACACGAGCATTGTGCAAATAGGGTTACAAAAGCAACAACAAGATACAGTAAGAGGTGATAAAAAATAAAGAACAGTGCAAGATATAAAAATCAAGGCATACACAGTTAGAAAACAAAAATTTAATTTGCAGTCCGAGTGATGGATTTAGCAGTTTGTCATCGGCAAAACGTACGATCAGAGTTTTGCCTCGACTCGAGCCACGATGTGAATGAAAATAAGCCGACACAGTTTCAACAATGAGAAGATGGGAAAAAAAAAAAAGAAGCGTTTTCTCTCCCTCAAAGTCTGGTGCTGGGGTGTACCGACGATAGCTGAGGTGGGGGGAGGGTCGAGAGAGGGTAGAGGTGGTGCAACAGCTCTCCGTACAGTGCCGCCCCGCCCGGGTACCTGTAGAGGTGGTGGGGGCTGGGGCTGGAGGCTAGCAGCTGCCTGTGGAGCATCATGGAGTGGATGGTGAAGGGGGGCATCAGTGGCGACACGGCTGACTGGCTTTTCAGGTACTGCAGGCCCGGGTGCTGCTGGAGGCCATCCTGGGCGCCTGGTGACACCAGCGTGCCGTGCGGGTAAATGCCAGCGTAGAGGGGCGCGGTGTGGGGCGGGGGGTAGGCGGTTGCAGAGTGGCCCTCGGGGAGATGATTGTTGAGGTGAATGGCGTGGGCTGGCTCAGCGGGTTTCAGCTCCTCGGGGTCGCTCCGTCGGACTGCGCTGGCCGGGTGAATAGGGGTCACCACTCGCACCTTCCTCTCCGGGGCGTCTTCGCTGTCGGCCTCCACCAGGCTCCGCTTACTGGGCCGAATGGGACTGTTGAGAGACAGTTCGCCTGAGGCTTTGGGGCTGGGAAACGACTGAGAAGTATCTGGTGAGCTTTGTTTGGGGGTAGAGATTGTCATAGGCGAGACTCTGCACGCCTTAGGATGGGAATCCAAACCGTGGTGCATGATGGGATAGGAGAGACTACAGAAAGAGGGCTTGGAAAAGGAGGAAACCCTTTGAGATAGAGGTTTAGAAATAGAAAAGTCTCTGGGCTCGTCGTCAGCCTCTCCGTTCTCTCCTTGCGTCTGAGTCCTGTCACCGTAGTGAGATCTGTACACCAACCCTTCCTGCTCCAGACCGGCACAGACAAAGCTCTGGCCGCCCTCGCGCTCCCTGCTGTAGTGCTCTCTCCGCTCTCCGCCAGGAAAGCCAGCCATTCTCTCTTGGCTCAGGCAGCTCTCAGTTTGTCTGTACAAGCTGTGAAGGTGAGGGGATGAGTAGCAGTCCCCCGTGTAGCTCCTGCACTGCGCGACTGGACCTGGGAGGATTTTCTCCCCGGCGGTCTCCACGCAGTCCTGGGTTTGGGTTCTGGTAAGGTACGGCTGCCACGGCACGCTCGCCTGCGGCTGAATCTGATGG